AACTCATCTTCATGGCTCCGTCGACGGAGCCATGTAGTCTAGACATACCCATAGTGTACATAATGGAAAAAAGATTGCAACTACTGTGTTTTAAAAACAAAAATCCTTTTCACATATAAACTACTTAATTCTTCTAAAACTAGGTTACTATCTAAATAGCATCAGTCTCAATGGGCTTTAGAAATATTAAAATGACTGCTAATCTAATTAAAGGTGTTTAACGGGGATAGTCCAATTCATTACTATAAAGATAAATGTACAATTTTAAACAATACTTATAATGAGCGAAAGAAGCACAACGTAAGAAACTATAATTGTGCCATTTATTGTAAACTGTAACAACACGGTCCTTTTAGAATACTGTATGAAGAGTACAAATGGTTAGAAGAATATAGCTTATACAAAATTAATGTTAAATTTGTAAAACACATATTTATGTTGTTATAAGCCTGGGAAAGACTTTTTTCTTAGGGGGAGTTTGAATAAGACATCTTGGATATTTATTTGTACATGAGCATTTCATTTTCACATGATAAAAATCCAAATATTCCAAATATTCAAAATAGAGGATGTGCATGAGTGTTTGCATAAAGTCATACTACTTTTCTCCAAGACTGTGAATTTTAATCTCATGCAATTTTTACTTGCGGGGGAAAAAAGGAGTTGGACGAGGAGAAAAATTAAACTAAAAATGCAGAAATCTGAAGTGGCATAAAAATGAGAACAGAGATTTTTGGCAACCAGTGGGATCATCCTTTAAATTTACTGGTAATTAAATGCCCACAAAAGATTCACATTAAAGCCTAAATTGGAACTAGTGTAACATAAGAGCATTTCTGGAAATCTTCTTCAATCCTTTTGTCTTTTGACAAGATTAGACAAGGATTTAATCTAAAAAGTTGGAGTCTGCCACTGGCTCTGCTAGAAGATCAGTCTTCCTTGGCTGGATGTGTTGTATGCCCATAACTCTGAATCTCAGACTGGTAGTTTGATAAGAACAAGCAGATCTGAGGTATTTTAGGGCATATCTATACCACAGGATAAGGTCGAATCTATTATAGTCGATTTCTAGATACCGCATGTTGTGAAGTTGAAGGTCCAAGTCTCCACTGCAGGGAAGTACCAAATGTAGTTCAAAGTAGTGAGTCCCCATTAGGGAGCCTACTGTCAACTCAGAGAGCGATGTTATTCTGGGATATGCTCACAGTACCCACTGGGACCAAAATTCTGCAGTGAGTGGTTATGGGCTCATGACGTCAGCGTCCCATATTGCACTCATCTAGTTCCTCCCCCCTTCGTGAGAGACAAAGGGGAATCAGTGTGCTCACGCTTTTTTGTGCCCTGGTTGCCCGTGCCCGCACAGACACTACAGGCAGTACAAGCACGGGGCCCAATTTGCAGCAAACTATTGTGATGTGTGTTGTGGCACACCTAATGGTGCAGTACTTCACAAGAGTACGCATGTTACTCCTTCAGGAAGAGAACAAGGATGAAGCTCAGCATGGTATGGAGTTGCTGCTCATGCAAAGCCTGGTGCTGATGCTAGCGCAGCCACCAGTCAATCCTGTAGACACAGTGCAACACCAGTTCTGGTACTGTGAGACAAGCACAGACTGGTGGGACCACATTGTGATGCAGAGATGGGACCATCAGCAGTGGCTGCAAAACTTTTGAATGCACAGGGTCATTTTTTTGCAACTTTGTGAATGGCTTGCCCCTACACTGAGATGACAAAATACCTGATTGAGACCTGCTCTGACTGTGGAGAAGCACGTAGCAGTAGCCTTCTGGAAGCTTGCAATGTCAGACAGCTACCATTTAGTGGGGAATCAATTTGGAATGGGGAAATCTACAGTGGCAACTGTTGTCATGCAAGTAGCCAAAGCAATCAATGCCATTCTGCTCTGGAGGGTTGTGACTCTGGTGATGTCATAGCGGATTGCTTTGCCACAATGGGATTCTTTAATTGCTGTGGGGTGATAGAATCCCCATCTTGACCCCAATCACCTTGCCATGGAGTACATCACCTGAAAGGATCATTTTTTCATGGTACTGCAGGCGCTGGTGAATCACTAGGGCCGTTTCACCGACACCAACATGGGATGGTCAGGAGAGGTGCATGATGCACACATCTTTAAGAATGCCTGCCTCTTCAGAAAGATGCACACTGGAACTTTTTCCCAAACAGGAAAATCAGAATTGGAAAGGTGGAAATGCCTATTGTGATTTTTGGCGACCCAGCCTACTCCTTACCCCCATGGCTCGTGAAGCCATACATGGGCAGCCTGGACCCCAGTAAGGAGAAGTTAAACAATAGGCTGATCAAGTGCAGAATGGTTGATTAATGTGTTTTTGGATGTTGAAAGGGTAGGTTTAGGAGTCTCCTCACTTGGTTGGATCTGAGGGAATGCAACATTCCCTTTGTGGTGGCAGTCTGTTGTGTGCTCCATAATCTGTGAGAGACCAAGAGGGAAATTAATCTGGCAGGGTGGGGGGCTCAGGCAGAGTGCCTAGCCAGAGAGTTTGAGCAGCCAGACACCATGTTTCACCTCTTCTTGCATGAGTTTGAACAGACTGATGATCATCAAGCTGATGATATTGCTCTGGCATTTAAAAAACTGGAAACACAAATTCAAATCTTATCTGTATTGTCCACAGTAGACATAGATTAAATTCCTAATCTACAAATAAGTAATTTTTTGCAAAAATAGGTGCTGTTTCCTGCTTTTTTGCACAATGCAGTTTTTAAATTTTTTAATTTTCCTCTTTTTTTTTCTTTTCATCTCACTCTGGCAAAGTAAAAAGGTATATTTAAACCTCATTCAAAGTCATGAAGATGATAGGCATCTTGCAGACAGTAAAATATTTTTAAAACCTCCACAGAAAGAACAGTGGGAGCAATGTCTCAGAGGGGTAACCATGTTAGTCTGTAGCTGCAAAAACAATGAGTCTTCTGGCATATTAGAGACTAACAGATTTAATAGGGCATAAGCTTTCATGAGTGAAACACACTTCATCAGATGAATTGGAGTGGAAGTTACAGAGGCAGGGGTACATATATTACATTAGTGAGGCTAATCAAGTCAGGGTGGAAGTGGCTCATTCACAGCATTTAGAGTGGAGAAGTGAATATCAAAAGAGGGGAAATTGACTTTGTAGTGCATTCGCCAGTTAAGATCCTTATTCAATCTTGTATAAAATTTGTAAATGACCTCCAGTTCAGCTGCTTTCCATTGCTCAGCTGGATGTTGACAGTAAGATTCCATTAAAAAAAGTGATTCCATCCCCTTTATTTTCTGTATATATATATGTGTGAGACTATCTATTACTGCCAAATGGCAAAATACTGGTGTTCCTTCTGTTAACATCTGGTTCAATAAAATACTGGATTAATTTACTGCCCTAAATAATAAAAATATACCTCTTTCTATATATGCACCAATTACTATTTTTATGAGTCTTATTTTATTCATAGTAAGAATTTATGTTTTACTGTTGTTTATGTTAGTATATGAATACATATCTTATGCCTGTTTTGTATTTACTCTATGCTTGCCGACCCCCCATTGCACCAACCCCCCACATGCCGCAGCTGGATCATAGCCTCCCCTCGTTTTCATGCCACAGCAGGTCAAGGGGCTGCCACCAGCCCTTCCTGCAGCCAGATGTGGGCTGGACTGCAGAGCCTGCCCCAGGATCAGGGCCACGGCCAGAATGCTGTGGCCAGATGGGAACGGGATCTTGATTGGGCAGGGTGTCTGGCTGGAGGGAGGATTCAAGAGCAGGCTGGGGGCAAGGTATCTGGGAGGGGGCAGGAGCAGGTTGGGGGTGCAAGGTCTGAGCATGAGGGGGTTGGGAGTATGTACATGTTTTTGTGCTATGTGCTGCTCCCACGCACCGGAGGCTTTCCCCACTGCTCCAATGGGGAAGCTGCCTCCAGCTCTGCTTCTACTTCCGGGTATGGGTCCCTGAAGCTGCAGAACACAACAGGGAACCACAGCCAACTGACTTGGGCTGCTGCCTGCCTGGCGCTCCAGCCTCATAACCTCCCCCCACCCCTGCAAGATTACAGCATCAGCACCAGCTTCCTGTGGGCAGGGGAGAGGAGAAAGCCCAAAGACTCTGTGCCATATCCAGCAGTGTACGT